TGGAAGAGGGGGGGGGGGGGGGGGGGCTGACACTTTTTTTATTGTTATTAAGTATGTAATGTGCTTGTGCTTACCAAGTTAGGTGCCTCTGTATTTTCTAAAGGGCATCAAGCTGTTAAGGAAAACCAAGATTAATTTGAGGGTGCAGAGGCCATTTAAGTGAAGACTCCAATCTGAGAGTGAGATTATGGGTTAAATTAGTGATATACTGTGAGAAACCCTTAGCAATGGATTCCAAAGCAAGGCATTCTTGGTAGACACGTGAGGACACCCATAAAATGATTAAGCACAAAGTATCCCATGAGGTTGTCCCCAGTACTTCTAAACACGTATGTACCACTTTTTTGTGTACATTTCATGTTCAAACCTTTTTTTAAGGCTCCATTTACATTTGTGCGGTGCCTTAATGCATGTGCATTAACAAACGTTATGTCACACCTTAACATGCATTGCGTTAAGGCAGTCCATTAAATGAATGGCCTTCTGATTCACCTAAATGTTCCAAAATGATGCACTACGATGTTGCTATGTGTTGAAGTACGTTGCAAGGCATGTGGGATGCCTAAGTGCATTGGGGTGTTATTCAAAATGAGTCGCAACACATCAACACATGTAACATGAGCTGTTGCGTGTTAATGCATGCATTCCCACAACACAAAGATGTTAATTGGCCCCAAATTGAGGGTTCTGCTACTTAAAACATTCTTGTAATTTCTTGTTCAAATGGATGGCATAACTCCAGTGGACAGAAACCTCCACAAAACAGTTCTAATATACTGTGGTGACAACTGTTGTTACTTTGTTATTACTGGTATTATGCATATCTCAGTCTCTAAACCCTTGCATCATACTAGTCACTAACATCTGATTGCATGAAGCTTGGAGGATTCCTTCAGTAAAATCAATAGAAAATAGAGGAACATTTGTTCCAATTGATCTGTTTGTGCTGTTACAGAAGCACTTACAGGAAAATATCATAACTCTATATACTTACACAATCATGTTCAATAAAAAGAACTTGAGAACCCTATTATCTGCGTATGTGGCCAGGTAATACAAGGTTCAACTTTATTTAACATTGTTGGAAGCAGGCAATCTTAACTACGATTCTTTTAAACCCTAGGGTTGCTCCAGAGGTTACTAGGGGCTCTTTGAGCATTGAGCAGTAATTGATCCCCTTCCCAATAGGGGATCATTTTCCAATTAAATGTATTGTACAGCATTAAAAATGACAACCAGCGTAGGGTTTTCCCCCCCCACAGAATAACAATATAATGGGGCTATTTACTGAACACCAATGTAAAGGGGCACTTATTAACTGACACCTGATGTAAGACTGCATTTCTTCACTCACCACTAATATAAGTGGGGACTTCTCCACTGTCAACAATGTACCAAACACTTCTCCAATGACCACTATTGTAAGGAGAGCACTTCTCCCTTTAATATCAATGTAAGGGGGCACTTTCTATTAACTACCAGTGTAAGGACGGCCTTCTCCTCTGTCAACCATTATAAGGGATGTTTGTAATGTATACACAAGAGGCACTAACTAAGATCTCCTAAAGTCTAGTATTATGAATGACTGTCTCATTAATGAAACTGAACCGTTTAAAGCGCTGTTCTAGGTGTGCAATCCCAATAATACTACTCTATTAATAAAGTGCTAATGTGCTTTTTCAAACAATATATGTATTCATACATACAACCAATCAATAAATAAATACAATAGTGGTCAATCAAATTCCTGTCTGTCCTCTGCTGTTATAACAACATAAATATGTATAAAAAAACACTAATCCAAATAGTCTCCTCTGTGTATTGATGTTAAATCCCCCAATTCTGTCTCAGAGACTAATAGAATTATAGTTCATATGCAAACACAAACCATTTAACTCCTTGATAGCAGACTAATAACTATATATATCTATATAGATCTATATAGATCTATTAAAAAAACCAAACAGTTTGGCTATAATTCTCTTTCCATAGTCTTCTGATGTCATATTGCCCTGCACAGATTTAAGGAACCTGGTTCAAGAGGCAGTAAAGTAACCCCATATTGTTTTGGAGCCGCCCCATGTTTTCCAGTAGGAACGGTGTCAGCATTTGTTTTTTTCTTCTGTGAACAAAACTGATGTGATTTAGACATCAACAGGTATTACCACATAATATTGCTGTACTTTTAATCTTGGAGGTTAGCCAGGATCTTTTCTGAGGTTTTTCTTGATTATTTTTCTACCATTTGGATGATCTTTCTATTCAATCTGGAGTTCTGTTTGGTAATGCAGCCGTATCCATGGAGGTTGGCTAACTTTCAAAAAGATCTCTTAGAACTGTTGGATATAACAAAATAATATCCATTGAGCTTTCTCCTATTAAGTAGTTAGTACAGTGCAAACTGTGTTCTCTTTCAAAGTGAAGATTCCCACGGATCAAGTTGTTACATTCCACAATGTGATACATTTGGAAGATATTCATGAGAAGGTTCGACCATTTCCCATACTTGGCTAGAAAATGTAATTATTCCAGACAAATACTCAAGTCACTTAAAATGGAAAATATTTTGTCATTAGCTTTGTGTCCAATAAAGCTAATGAACACAATGTTTTGATAACACAAATAAAAACAACTATTTCTTTTAATGTGTTCTGTGATTGCAGTCAAACCATTTGTGTTCTGTGCCATTTTAACAAAAGCAATTATATCGCCGAAAGCGCCTGCCATCAGCTTTATAGCTTCTGCTTCAGTTGTGGCTGCTTATTTCAAAGCATTACTTCTTAAATATATACACATATTTTATTTCCCCCACTGGAGTCTATTAAGAAACATTTGCAGATGTGGAATACAATGTTTTTTCATTATATCTCAGCAACTGTGGCATAAAATGACCCAACTATTTGTATATATATGTGTAAAAAAACAAGAACGGTGTATTGCAGTATGCATTGATACCTTTGTTATTGGACTAACATACAGTATTATTTAAAAGACAAGCTTTTGAGAGTTAACCTCTCTTCTTCTGGTCTGAAGCAATACTAATCAACATGACTTATTGGTAAGTAAACTTTGTCATGTTGATTAGTATTGCTTCTGACCTGAAGAAGAGAGGTTAACTCTCGAAAGCTTGTCTTTTAAATAATATGTTAGTCCAATAAGAAAGGTATCATTGCATACTGCAATACTCCGTTTTTTGGTTGTTTTTTTTTTAACATCTTTTCTACTGGACTAATATGGCTTACCCATTTACATTAAACTAAATATATATATGTAGTATGTGTGTGTGTGTGTGCTTGTGTGTGTATGTGTGATAATATATGATAATAAATATATATTTGATTCCCTCATGCTTTTCCAAACTCTCAAAGGATGAATGATAATCATTTAAATATATGGTCATGTAGTTTTAGCTATTCAAATTGTTTATTTTTTTTAAGGTTGCTTTTTTATCCCTCTGTAAGGTAATTTTGGATACTTACAATCAATACAATTAACAGTACGAGTCACATTAGAAAACAATGAACGCATCCAAAAAGTTCACAAATACATAGATAGTGTGTGTGGTGATAGATTTGTTACTGCGTTGTGATAGATTTGTTATTGTTTGTTTTATATTTAGTCCAAATTCTACTAAACGTATATTGATTGACATCCATCCGCATTGCTGCCCATACCCCATGAGGCTTTTTTGTCACTTAGTTGTAATTTATCTAACGGGGCTGCCAAAAGTGTGCTTATGACCTCCATAATGAAGAGAGTGTTTTCAGCATAACTTATCATAAAGATTTAGTGCCCAAAAACTGATTTATTTATATGCTTTGGTTGGATTGCGACTAAATCCTGCACGTTGTTTATTTTGGAGACTATAGCATGAAGCTCTAGTTACAGCTATGTGCACCGTTGCAAGACTAAATGCATGAAGACAATGGAGTTGATTTACTAACCTTATAAACACACCACGAACATGTATACACCTCTGTAGTGTGTTCCCTCCCAGCATGATCTATGGGTGGAATCTAAACACCTTTGTAGTGTGTACACACCTAGCAGGTGTGTTGTGCAAAGCCTTGCATGAATTGCAAGGTGATGTTGTGTAAATTAGCTCTATGTTGTGTTGCTTGCGTTGTGAAGCTAACCATTTTTGTCTAAACTGTGAAGCAGCATTATATATGCATCATATGTGCATGATTTTTCCATATATGACATTAGTGGAAATATGCTTTTAGAGACTTTTTGGTTGATAAATACGTTTTGCTGTGTGAAAATCACACGCACCTGGTGCGTGCGTGTGTTTAGGTTAGTAAATCACCCCCAATGTGTCTGTATTATTTGTGTCTAACACAGCTCACTCACATCTGTGCATAATGGTGTACTAAATAACTGGTACATTTCTTTATAACTATACAGTTTTATGTCCATTAGAGTGCCATTCAGTTACATAACTGTGAATCTAACTGTGAATTGAGATCCTAATAGGTTGGACTTGATGGACTAATGTCTTTATTCAACCTCAAATACTATGTAAGACTATGTAAGTAGAACTGAAAGTTTTTTCATTTTGGATAGAGCAAAGGAGGGTTAGAACCCTGCCAGCTTTTTTTTTGCCATCAGTGTCCCATTGGGGAGATTACCTTTTACTTCCTGCCTGATAGTTAAAAGAGAAAGTATGAGGAAATCCCTACAAGAGGGAAATCCCTGGAGGTCACCAGGGTCACCAGAACAGTGTCCCCATTGGAAGATTTCCCATCTATTCCAGTTCTAATGAGAACCCAAAATGTGGGATTTTTTTTTCACCTTCAGTGATAACCGTCACAAGGACCAATAGAGAGGGTGAATCTCCATAACGGGGACAGAGAGCCATAAAAATCTTAGAGGGAGTGGAGAGGTCTTAAAAATAGTATTAAAGGATTTTTTCAGAATTTTAAAACTTTTATTTGTTCAATTTGGATAACATATTTTTTTTCCTCTCGCCTTGTAGATTGTGACCCTAAAGAAGAAAAATGGGAAAAAAGAAAAAAATTTTCAGCAATTTGGAAGTAATCTTGATTACACTTGTTGTGTTGCTTTGTGCCGTTTCAGCTGGCTTTATAACGATAATATTTGTCCTGGAAAACATGCCGAGGGATCCCAGTAAGTTATTTCAATTTGCTGCTTTCATGTGATGCTTTCAAAGAGGCGCAGTTGAACATGTTTTACACTGTCATTTGCTGTAACACTGAACCATACCTCAGCCTTGTTTCTAGTAGTGATCATTTTACAAAGCAAGAAGTGTATCTTATGTCAGCAGAGCTGCCACAATACTTTTACTGATACAAAGTCCTTTGCTCTGCTTTACCCTGCACTTTCTCTTTACTGAGTCTTGAGACGAACACCATCACAACATTTTGGTAGTCATTAGCAATCTACTAGAACTCTAGGTTCATGGACCTTAACAAATTGGCAAACTGAGCTAACTTTTAGAAGAACAAAGTCCTTAGATTTTAAGTAGGGTTGGGTTGTCCAGGAACATTTTAGTAATACTCAGGGGTACGTTATAAGGCAGTGAATGTGATATTCAACATACTTTCACTACAGGTGAATCCTTTACTGTAATTTGAAACACATACACCTAGGAAGATAAACCGAATGTTTGGTGAATTTTATATTTCCTGTTTTATAAATATACCCCCATTTTATATTTAAGGGCATTTAAAAGAAGATGAATAACATTTTGTTAAAACAATAAAGGTTACACTTTATGTGATAATAGAGTTACCAGAGAGCTATGGCCCAATCTTTTTTTTTCCAAAGTTCTCCTTAGGGTCACAGGAGGACATACACTAATGTCCTCCTGTGACCCAAAACTGAGCATATAACAGACTATTGCCTGCTATATGCTGACAGCACACAGCGCCACTGCAGCGGGGACAGATCCCAACAATATTGTTGGGATCCACCCCGCTGCCTGATTCACAGCTGGCTCTGTCTCTCTAGGGGCTGTACCCGCTCCCTCCCCCTTCCATCCCTCCAGTAAGTGCTGGAGGAATAGTGAGAGGGAGGGAGGAATCCCTGTGGGTAGAAGATTGTGAACTGAGCGATCAGCGGTATGTGATTGCTGCAGGGTCACTCCTTGGCTCTAATTATGAAGATAAGTGTATTTCACTCTCCCCATAATTCTCTTTTAAGGCTTATCTCTACTTTGTTGCCCTGACACATTCCAGTAATAAAATCTATAGCTCAAGGTTTCTTTGCAATCATGATGAACATGAAGTGTTTACTACCTCACTAATCTTTATACAGTTAATTTTCTAAAGAAGGGTCCTTATGGTAATCATTATTTTAGGATGAAATCCATCATTGTTTTTATGTCATAACAGTAGATGGTACAGTCCATGTGCCTACAAATCTCTAAGATGATGATCTTGAAATATAGCTTCCACAAGTTGTGTCACCTTATGCGTTTATGTCAAATCTTCATAGTGGGAATCAGCAGGAGAAACAGCAGAGTTTTTGGCGGTCATATGACAATGGATGGAGACAGAGAATGTAGTTAGAATCAGAGAAAATGGCTGAAGGTTATAGTGGCTCAAATTTGTTAAATGTGCAAATGTGAAGAAGTCTCATCGATATGTCTCCGTATATCTTTATTGTTTTCAACAAATGACCTTAATGCTCAGCATCTCAAAATAAAAATTATTTTTAAATTAGTCTGTCCTAAGGTATTATTCTTGAAAGCTTATACTGTATTTGGCATGCTAATAAAGTAGAATTTAAGAATCCAGACAAGCTGAGACCTATACTAAGTCAACGGTACCGAGTTGAAAGCGTCCCTGGAGAAGGTTCAAGAAGCAAGTACAATAGGACCAGATCTACAATATGGACAGTAGTAAAAGATAGTTGTGACTTAGAAGCTTGAGTTTTTTTTATGGCTTTATTGCAGCAAGAATAAGTAATGGACTACTGAGATTCAGGATGATGGACTGTGTAGAAGTAATATGGTTAAGAACAGTTATGTATGACAATAGCAAATGCACCAAGGGTTAATGGGGATTAGACATAAACCATCATCGTTTTGGGTGTTGCCTAGTCTCACTGGCCACAAGGGGGGTACTGTTACCTTATGCGTTGATGTCAAATCTTCATAAGACATATGTATATAGTTTTATTTTTGTAATTAAACATATTCTATGTTGGGTGACTGAATAGAGTAGGGAAATTGTGTTTATACAGTCCAGAGGAATTTTTGAATGTAATTAGGCGTAGCCAGTTAATGGTAAATGGTCAAGACAAGAGACAATGGGATCTTTGGAACACTTCGGAGCCGAGACCCGTGAGTCTCACTGTCTCTGGCCAATATCATCAAAGGTTTCCTTGTCGCTAGTAAAACAACCAGATTGTCCCCCTGGTTTAGATGAAATCATGGCCTGGGGTTAGCCTAAGGACACCTGCCCATCTAGAATTTCCCGCTCATCTTAATAGATTTGCATAGAGGGGGGTTGGAGGTTCTGGCAGGGGGGATTTGGGAACGTCCAATCACAATACAGGAATTTCAATCTGAACAGTTGTCCACAGAAGTATGGCCCAGACAGCAAAATAAGTTTAATGCTATATGACTCAGACTAGACCCTACTTGTAGGATTTGGGGCGGGATTCTGCAACTGTACTGCAATTTTCATAAATCTTGTTGTACTTCTTTACCGTACTGGTAGTCCTCTGTGTGTTTAGTCACCAACATTTCTTAAGTTTGCTTTACATTATGATCTGTAGTCATAAACTCTCAGGTGTCAAATTCTAATAAAAAGAAAACCGGTAGTGTGACAACATGCCTGTAATGCACAGGAGGATGGCAGGAAGAGCAAACCAGTGAATTTACTATATGAGATTAGGTTGGAATCTCTGTTGTTTTTTGTTGATGTCTTTTTCTCCTCAACAGTTCTTAAAGTTCCGGCTTGGAGATTATACTAAAGAGGTGTGGAGGCATCTATTCTTTTCTACTGTACTAAACCTTACTCAAAACCGAGATACACTCCACACACTGCCATTATATCAGGTTTAATTAGATAATTGGTAATTAATCTCTCTGATTGGCTGATGTGACATCCATGTGTGCCCAGAAAAGTCCCCCCTCATCTTTCAGGTGGCAGAGCAGCAGGGCATAAGATAAGGAACCAGAGCAGGTTTGGACGAGGAAAGTCCAGCCTCCGAGTAAATGCTATGGGTAGGGCAATCACATACATTTTTGCTAGGACCTGACAGTATTAGCAACCAACCATGGGGAAAGTGGGGAGGGATTTGCGCCCTGGAATGGGGGAGGGTCTAGAGACTCAATATTAAAAAAATAAATAAAAATTGAGGCTTCCATTGCTAACTTTTGAAACTGCTAGTTGTCTGTCATTGAAGCCAAAGACTGCCAGAAAACTAGCATTTTCAGTAGATTGTGAACAATGGAAGCTTTCATATTTGAATACAGCAAAGTTCCTATTCTTGCAGGTTTGTGCAAGAATAGGAAGTACAAAGTGCAGTTCAGTCTGCAAAGATCTGTTTCTTTCTGAAATAAGCAAACTGTCAATGGTTGTTCTGCTGTGTGGGCATTATTTCAGAGAAGAATATTTAGAATCAACAGAGAGAAAAAAGATGAGTCATGTATTATAAAGGAATTCTAAATGAAGAAGTACTGTAAATATAATACTTTATTAATGTTTCACATTGTTTAAAATTGTTCAACTTAAACATGGTAACATGGCTACAAATTTGCTCTTTGTAAGTACTTCCTGTCTTTAAAGGAGAACTATGAGGTGAGTGCTTTTCACTCACCTCATAGTTCTAGCCAACCTGTGACAATGGGACTGTGGGAGGTGAACGAACACATGCCGGTGTTGGCTCACTTCTCGATCCTGTCACGGCTCTCTGCCGTGACAGGGGAGGGGCTGGATTCCCCCCTCCCCGCTCCGATCCACCAGCGCTGACTGGCGGAACAGACGGGGAGGGGGCGGGTACAGCTGGTTCTGCCTCTAGGTAGGCAGAGCCAGCTGTCACTCACGCAGCTGGGCGGATCTCGACATCGATGTCGGGATCCGCTCCGGCTGCGGCGTCTCAGTATACCGCGAGCTGTAGCTCGTGGTATACTGAGCTTAGGGGGATGGGAGGACGCTAGTTTGTGTCCTCCCGTTACCCTAAGGAGAACTATGGGGAAAAGCCCTGACCCCATAGTTCTCCTTTAAAGAGCATTTTCTGGGGAACAGTGTCCTTCGTGCATATTCTTCTTCGTCTGCAGTCTGGAATCCAGGAAATTATGGTTAATCCCATCAATAATCCATCAAACCACGGTCAAGCTTCTTGGAGTTAGAGCCTTTGTTCCATATTCAAATTTATTTTCAAATGTCTCATAATCTTTAATAGAACTATCTAACTCCATACAAGTCATATTCAGTCATTTGCAAAACGCATGCTAGGTGCAGTGAGTGGCTCCTGAGAGTTATGAACACTCCTTTCAACCACCCTGGACCTATTCATGTGCCAAAAAAAACCTACTCATTCTTCAAACATAAAATAGTTTTTGCCCTAGATCATTTCACCTAAGCAGCTAATCGAAACTGAAAGTTTCCGCTTCGGTAAATCCTTGCAGACAGTGAAAACTGTTTTCTCACAGAAAAAAAACACATTTATTTCTCGTTTATTAAGGGACACAGGATTTAGTTATTTAGAGACAATTGGGTTATGCTACCACCTCAGAAGGATTCGGACACTGATAATACACATTTGTTTAACCCCTCACTCTCCCAGTATGCTTCATCTGATCACAGAACAGTTTTCCACTTTGCAACACCATTTAAATGAGCTTTGGCCCAGAGAAGATGGTGGTGTTTCTGAATCATGTTCAGACATGGCTTCTTCTTTGGATGATAGAGCTTTAACTGGCATTTTTGGATGGGACAGCAAACTTTACAGACAGGGATTTTTGGAAGTATTCCTGAGCCCATGCAATGATGTCCATCATAGAATCATGCCTGTTTTTAATGTAGTGCCGTCTGAAGGCCCGGACAATATTGTGTTTCAGCCTTGTCCATTGTGCACAGAAATTTCTCCAGATTCTCGGAATCTTTGATATTATGTACTGTAGATGATGATATATTTAAAGTGTTTTCAATTTTACATTGAGGAACATTATTCTGAAATTGTTCGACAATTTATGTTCGACAGCTTTTCCTAGACTGACCTCTGCCCATCTTTACTTCTGACTCTCTGAGATGCTCTTTTTATACCCAATGATATTACTGACTTGTTGCCAATTAACTTAATTAGTTGCAAAATGTTCTTCCAGCTCTTCCTTGTTAGTACCACTAACTTTGCCAGCTTTTTGTTGCCCTGTCCCAACCTTTTTGAGACGTGTTGCTGCCATCAATTTCAAAACTACCTTATTGTTTTTCTTAAAATGGTCCATTTTCTCAGTTTAAACATTGGATATGTTTTCTATTTTCTATTGTGAATAAAATATGGGTTTGGGAGATGTGCAAATATCATTGCAATCTGCTTTTAGGCAGATTGTATACAGCGTCTCAAACTTTTTTGGAATTGGGGTTGTATCAGCACCTAGGATAATAGCACTACTTGTGGTGGATCGACAAACATCAGTTCATGCTGTTTCTTCTGAATATGGAACTGATTACTTTGAACTTCCTGGAGATTTTGGGGATCTGCAGATACTATCCCATTTACCCCCTTTGTTAGATTGATTCAAAACTCCATTCCCATACTCTTTTTCATGCTGTCCTTCAGTATTTTCTAGATCTCCTACAAAATCTAAAATTTGGATGATGCATTAAAATGGTCCTTGGTCTTACAAATCCTGGTTACAAGATGCTGGTTTCTGGATAGTGTAGCAATTATTACTTTTCCCTTTCCTTCGTCTTAGAAATATTTTTCTGAGTGTATCTATTTTTCTATTTTTGAGTTCTACAGAACAAACAACTCTCCCGAGTCTAATTCACAGTAATCTCTATGTGGGTTAGACTTGCAGTTCTGATGAGTTCTGATGAGTGTACAATACCCTCATCTCTGGAAGAAATTGAGTACCCCGCCTGTAACTGACTGATGTTTGGCTCCTTATGCTGGAATGCCTTGAAAGTGTCATAGTGTCCACGCTATTTACATTCGGGACTCAAAGTTTTGCTTCCAGATACCTGCATCTGAATTTTCCCACCCTAAACAGAGAGGGTTCCAATCAAGAGTGCAACCTTTTTTTCTAACTTGCAAGGAAATATCCATTTTGATCTGTACTTCCCTGAAAGGTCAGCAGACACATCACTCTGTTACCTAGATACAGAGTTCCCTTAGTTGGGAAACTATAGGTCCAGAGAACCTCATGGCTATTTTATTTATGGGAAGAAAGATCAGCTTCCTTATTTATATCAGAGTGACTGACTTATTAACGTATATAATCAGGCAGACTGTGATGTGGTTATCACACCTTAGAATCATCTATAGGTGTGAGTGGAAGGTCTTCTTCTTATCCTTCTTCTTCCTGTATGTCTACTGCTCTACAATATGTCCTCACCCAGTCTTCCCTTATACAGTATATAGCTGTGTGTATCTCTTCACTAGACATGTAAATTTCCTTTTGTTCGAATGGATATTTGTACGAATTTCATTAAATTTGGACATACAGATGCATCTGAATTCCCGAATTTGAACACGTCCGAATGCGAATGAATCTGAATATCTGTTTAACTAAATTTGGATCCATCCAAATTTCGTTCAAAACTAAACTAAATCGGACTGTTTTCCATCCAATCAGAATTTTTCCAGCTTTTGGGGGTTGCATTACAAGCAAGGTCATGTGACTTTGTTCTGAAATGAAAATTCAGATTGTTCCAAAACGAAACTTCGAATAGGTCCGAAATCCGAGTAACTAAACAAATTGAATTTTGGATTCTAAATCTGAAAAACGGAAGAAATAAAAAACTGAATCGATCCAAAACTAAACAGATTTTTTGCAAGGTCACATGTCTACTCTGCACCCTTCCTTAAAGGGGACTTTGTACTCCCTCCTTTTAAACTCTGCTGAGAGTGCTTTTATATCATAGATTTCCCTTTCCCTGAAGTCTAGGGTTATCAGTGTTCTATTTCAGCCTTTATCTGTTCACTGGTTGGTTTATGGTTGGGGCATACTTTTTTTGTCCAACCAAACATTTTTATTTGTTGGTCACTCTAGCTGTTGGTTCAGATTTTTTCTTCTGTTCAAGTAATTGTTCCATCTGTTTAACTTCATGGTGGATGATTGGTTGTTAAGGGTTCATCATACTTTCAGGTAGCAGTTTCCTCCTAGTGTTGCGATCTGTTCTTGAACACCAAATTGATTCTCAGTGCCTTTCCTTGGTTGGTGCATTTCCATATTTATCTCCCCCATTTTTCATCCAGTCTTGTTAAGGCTTGGTCTCCTTCGGATGCTCTCATAGTAAGATTTCACATACATTGGATCGCATAGTGGCTGTTGTTCACCCCTCAGTTGGACTGCTTTGAACGAACCGCCTATCTCTGAATAACTGAATTTGGTGCCCCTTAATGAACAAGAAAGGAAACAGGATTTTTTTACTTGTTGTAAAATCCATTTCTTAGCCCCCCTATGTGTCTGTGATCTTCTCCTAGTACTGCTTTTCTACCAATCTGATTGTTGAGAGTGGGAAGGGTTATACCTGGCTAGCAGCTTTTTTAGTTTGCCAGTCCACAGATCCTCCTGTAGGTGGAAGTGTAACCCAATTATCTTTGAATAACTGAATCCTGTATCCTTTAATTAACAAAAAAAATGAATTTTATAGTAAGTACACTAATCCTGTTTTTGCCTACTTCAATCTGCTTATCACTAGTGATAACATTGGCTAACAATTGATGATCAATAATTGTTATGGAATGTAGTGCACATATCTCGTGTCCTATTAAACCTACTTACACTGGCTTAATTTGGAAATGCTTATATTGTCAGTTACAACAATTTAAACTACAATGAAGTAAGTTTGGGTCTTTTCTTTATATATAGCTATTCAACCTACTAGGATTTTTAGACTTTAAAAATCTAGTCCATCTTTTTTTTTTCAGGCCCAACAGCGACCACCACCACTGCAACCACTACCACTACTGCAACCACCACTACCACCACCACCACGGCTGCTCAAGGAACAACTGATGGTCAAGCCTTCCTCGTTGGGGCTGGAAGAGCTGACTGCACTGGGTTTCTATCAGATGTTCCTATGGTATGAAATTGTATGCTTATTGCATATGTATAAATAAATCACAATAATAGCCACAACAAATAAATAGTAAGTAACACTGCAATTCACATTTTAAGGATATTGATAAAAATTTGTGTGTATAGGGAACCTAAAATGAGTTACCCAGATATAAATGGGATATACAGTAAATACCACTCACAAACATATTTGGCCTAGTGACTGTACAACTTTTAACATATATTGAACCCAGTATGTGGAACTGATGAAAGATTATTGCTCTACGTTATGAGCTATTCAAGGCTTTAAAAAGCTTAATAGTACACTCTAGATAAGCATGAACATTTAACATTCAATCAGGGCCAGATTAACATAGGGGCGGGTGGAGCTCCAGCTTCAGGCCCAGCCCTGCAAACCCATATCCGCCAGCCTAACCCAAATCGCAGTCTGGCAGGCTGATTAGCGGTCCCCGGCCGTTACCAGGCAGCTGCTGGCCTCTATTGAGGCATATCAGAGGGCCCTGGGAGGCCCCAGCAAGCGGCCCTCTGATATGCCTGAGCAGAGAGCCGCAGCGGCCAGTCTCACTCTCTGACCACCTGGAGCCTGTGTTGATCTGCCAGAAATCCGGAGCGCTGAATCCTTCCTCTTCTGACTGCCTGGAGCCCACACTGACTGCCTGGAGCCCACACTGATGCCCTGGAGCCCATACTGACCACCTTAAGTCCAAACTGACCACCTGGAGCCTATACTGACCACTTAAAGCATGCACTGACCACCTGGAGCCTGCACTGAATACCTGGAGCTTGCACTGACCACCTGGGGCCTGCACTGACCACCTGGGGCCCTCACTGACAGCATGGAGCCTGCACTGGAAAGCACAATGTTTAGAGCGCACTCCTGTAGGTCAGACACAACTCTGGAGATTAACTACTGGTGGTGTGCGAAACTCCTCATAACAGGGGGAGGGACCCTGTGCACCAATAAAAGCTAAATCTTTCAGTGCCCTATTCTCAAGTGGAGAGAGATTATTGTGGTGTTTGGCTTTCTTGCATATCTCCAGGAGGTCCGCGTAGAACACATGGTAAAATGTGTCTACAAACGGGCCCTTGGAGTTTATGGGAAAAAAAGTTGATTTTGGCTTAAAATTGGTGTGTATGATATCAGGATTAAGAAGATGTTCAAAATCCAATTCCAGAAAGGAATTCTGATCTGCTAGATCATAAAGGGTTTGTAACACATCTCCATCTTTGTCTTCAAAGATGTCAGTCACAAACTCTAGTTCCGAGGGAAAATTGGAGGGTGTCTCAGCTAAGGGTGTTTTTGTAGGGATAATAGAATAGTGTCTTCTAAGGGTCAACAACCTGATGAATTTGTTGAGATCCTTGAAGAGAATAAAAGGATCTGGTTTGGCATCAGGGGCAAAATTTAAGCCTTTCTTGAGGAGCGACGTTTCGCTGGGGGTAAGAGTGTGTTTTGACAAGTTGAAGATCTTTATTGTTGTTGTGGGGTTGCCAATATTGGAGTTTCTTTTTTTGGCATTTTTGCTGCCTTTTCCTCCTCGGGTACCTCTCCTCGTTTTTTTTTGTTTTACTTTCGGGGTGTATGGATGGCCTTGTCCTAAAAAAGGAATAGTGGGATCACTAAGAGGCCTCGGTTTCTGACTCTGTGGAACTACTAGGTCCTCTAGGGGAGGTTCCCTTTGTGT